AGGGCCTTGCTGTAGTATGGCAGGGGAGTGTTAGAGGGCCCTACGACAGCAAGGGCCCTCGCGAAATGTTAGACTTGGCAGGTTGACGACCGACGACCTGGTCTACTCGGCACCGTCGCACAGGTTCGATGGCAGTCAAGTGTGACTACGGGTGAATGCGAGCTGCAGTAAGGAATCTGCTGAAGTCGGTGCTGGGAAGTAGAGTCGTGGGAGTCTTTGTGTGCTTCCTTATGAGGCACGCCACTCCCAAGCTGAGTCGGATGGAGTTGCGTGCTCGGAAGGTTTTCGCTGCTGAGTTGGATGGAAGTTTGGCGGGGCGCGTTCGCCAACTCCCACAGCACTTTCGTGTGGGTTGGGTTACTCGCAGCGCCCTCGCTACCTTTTGTGAACGCTTGCTTGCCTTTATATGTTTGTGTTTGCTTGTGTGTTTCATATATTCTATTTTCCTAGTGAAGTCCAATCTCTCTCGCCGTCGTAGTGCTCTCCATAATATTCCTTCAGGGAATACCGAGGCGGGGAAATGAGACGGGGTTATGAAAGAAAGAAGGTGGACGGTGAGGGAAGGGGGGGAGCGAGCAGCTCAGAATCACGCTCAACGCGATCCCTGGGAAATATCGAGGCGGAAAAACGGGATGGCGGGATACGGGGCGGAGTGCTCATCCTCAAAGGTTAGATGGCAAGGGGGTTGCTTTGCGCGAGGGTTTTTCGTTCCCCCTGACGCCGCGCGCCGCGCAAAGCCTGCCGCGCCACACGACAACTTCAAGGTGATGCGACGGGGTCTTGCAAGCGCTTTTGCGGCAAGGCCGATACGCGACGCGGCGCCATGGTGGGGTGTTACAGGGGTAGGATGGGTGAGGCGGATCGAAAAGGTATAAAGCCGCTATGACTATGAGAGCGACTCACTATGCAGCTCGCGAATCGCGAAGCCACGATGGGGTGGGCAAGTATGAGTTTTGACAGGGGTGGGAGGGGAGGCGCGGCTTGGGGGGCCGGGTGGCGACTCGCCGGGGGTAGTGTACAAGGCTGGAAAGGCAAGAGCGACTCACTCTGCGACGCGCGAATCGGGATAGCGTCGCTCGACGGCACCGCGAACGCTGCGAGCAGGCATGCTGCGACGATGGCGACGACTGCTGCTCGAGTCGCACGTCGAAACTGGCGAACCGCCGGCCTTGATGATGTCGCGACGCGCCGTGACGTCGCCGCAGCGTGTCGCGACGCAGCAGCCGTCGCATTCGCAGTCGCACTCGCGCTCGCAGTCGCACTCGCATTCGCACTCGCACTCGCATGCGCAGTCGCACTCGCATTCGTAGTCGCACTCGCATTCGCAGTCGCACTCGCGCTCGCAGTCGCACTCGCATTCGCAGTCGCAGTCGCACTCGCTTTCGCACACGCATTCGCATTCGCAGCCGCACGCGCATTCGCACTCGCACTAGCGTTCGCCACCGAAAGCGATCCGGGATCCGAATAACTACCCTGGGTCGTTTTCGAGTCGACTTCTACTACTGGAAGAACTACTCTTAGGGTTGCTACTACTCGTATCATGGGCCTGACACTATTTACACATCGGGCATCGCGTGGCCGCGGCGGCATGTCATTGCTTTCGTTCCCGAATCTCATCGCCACGGCGGCTGCCATTAAGCATCATGGTAGAACGTACGTCGGTAAGAAGTCAGAAAGTGCTGTGATGTGGAATCTGCCTAACGGAAATAGAGTCAGCATCGTAGTAGTTCTACGCAGTCTGAAAATAAGCGGTTCGCCGCCTGACTAATAGCCGCCACGCATGGCGGATTTGACACTCTCAGTGAGGTTGTGTTCTCAAGAAACAGCACGGCACGCGTAGATTCCATTGGTTCGTGCTTCCTTCCTTCCACCTACTCGTGAGTGTGGCTGCGGGCCCATCGTTTGACGGGACGAGCCATTGCACACGGAATAGTAGTGTGGAGGACCTTGCAGCATTTTGCTTCCGCAACTCGCGCGAGTCGCAAGCAATCACGAAGTTGCTAGCAATCACGTACAGCATAGTGCTCTCTGGACCATCGGTGAGAATCGTGGTAACGGACACCACACGGGTGTTGAAAGGGCGTGTCTCTTTAGGGAAAAAAAGGGGGATATCTTTTTGTAACTTCTACCAAGCAAAGACTGTACACTCTGACGAAATTATGCAAACGGTAACATTTATGACGCTCTATAACGCGTATGGTAACCATTACATTGATTTTTCATTTGTTGTGTAATTAGTTTCACGCGTTTGGTAACTACACAATCAGAAACATAACGCGGACGGTAACAAGGTCGCTCGAAATTTTGACAAATCTTGACGCATCGCGTTCTGCCTATCACGCAGATTTCCGAATTGAATATTACCTTTCGTTTATACCAATTCAAAACATTTGACAATTTTCAAGCATAGTTTCTCAACTTCATAATGTTTTGTTTCTGTCGTGTCAATGGTGCGAAAATAAAGAACCCTATTGGACGGCATGCGATTAAACACAAAAAAATAACAACTTTCGACAATACTAAAACAAGTGTTAAAATAACACGAATATTCCTGATACTGCACGCCTAAAATATAGTAAGCTTTATCTGTTATGCGACAATAATTATCCAGTTGTGCAAATATATAGCAAGTTCTAGATAAACAAGCAGATGAAAAATAAACCCCTTTGAGCTGACATGTATTTGCCACGAAGCCACAGGTCGTGTGGTTGGCACGATGGTGGGCCGAGTGACAGTTAGCGACTCTGGCGGCTCATAATGGCACGCGTCATGTATCTTCCAGTCGTTAGGCAGCAACAGCTTCGCGGTGACAGGTGTCACCATCTGGACGATGCGAAAAGGGCCGATGCATCGTGGTCAAAGATTTGTAGGCTAGGGCTGTGAGAAGAAAAGGTAGAAGAGAAGTTGATGGATTGATTGAAAGGATGGGGGGTTTACATAGGAGATGAGTTGGAAACTAGCCTAGGTGAACATTATTGGACCCCAACCAAGGAGTTGGGTTGGGAGATTATTGGTGGGGTCCAATAATGTTGGCCAAGTTGGAGTTGGGCCAACATTATTGGAGGGGACCAATAATTCTACCCATCCCAACCCTTGGGGTCCAATAATTGGACCAAGGTTGGGTTTCCAACCTACAAATTGGGTAACCCCTGCTTGTACACCCAAACTAAGTTTGGGTGCTTATCTCTAGCCTATCCTATAGCATATATGCAGGTTACAAGAGAGGAGATATTCTAACACAACCCCTTAACCTGCAGAGATGCGGAAAGGCTGGAGAGCAGCAACCCCTGAATCAAGGCGCTCCTGGAGGAGCGAGGCCAATGAGGCGGAGGAGAGCAGAGTGCGCGGGGCGAAGAAGTGCTTTGGTGAAGATATCCGCCAAATTGGCTTCAGTGGCGATCTTGCGGACGGCGATAAGATTCTGTCGGACGAGGTCGCGGATGAAGAAATAACGGAGCTCGATATGCTTGGAGCGACCATGAAAGACTGGATCCTGGGTGAGGTGGATGGTGCTGGCGTTGTCACACCAGAGCGTGGGACAGCGCTGGGGGGCACCAAGCTCTGCCAGAAGAAAGCAGAGCCAGCGGGACTCTTGAGCGGCCATGGTGCCCGCATAGAGCTCAGCTTCGCAGGAAGAGAGAGCGATGGCGGAGGAGCGGGTGGAACGCCAGCTGATAAGTCCGCTGCCGAGGGTAAAGCCATAGCCTTGGGAGGAGCGGCGGTCTGGCTGATTGTCTGCCCAGGAGGAGTCACTGAAGCCCGAGAGAAGGGGAGGGGAGGATCCACCCAGTGTGAGAGCGTGATCCTTGGTGCCGCAGAGATAGCGAAGGACCCGCTTGGCGGCAGCCCAGTGTTCCTCAGTGTGACGGCCAGAGCCGACGAACCGAGCAAGGACGCTGACAGGGTAGGCGAGGTCGGGGCGGGTGCACATCATCGCGTACATCAGCGACCCAACGAGCTCGGCGTAGGGCCGGGAGGAGGAGGAGGGGGAGGTGGGTGGCGCAAGTTGGTGACCGAAGGGGAGGGGGGTGGAGACTGGTTTGGCCTGCGCCATCTCAAACCTCTCCAGGACCTGGCCGATGTAGTGGGACTGGGAGAGAGTGATGGTGCGGGCGGATCGATCACGGGTGATAGCCATGCCGAGGTAGTTCTGGAGGGGACCAAGGTCCTTGCACTTGAGTCGTTCCTGAAGTGACCGCTTCATCTGGTCCATGTCGGCCCTGGAATCCGCCAGCAGGATCATGTCGTCAACGTAGACCGAGATGAAAAAGCGACTGGGGGAAGAGCGGATGAAGAGGCTGGCGTCGGAGTGGGAGGGGGAGAAGCCAAGGGACTGGAGAGTAGCAGATAGCTTCGCATGCCATTCTCGTGGTGCCTGCTTCAGGCCATAGACCGGTCGCTTCAGCTGCCAGACGGTGTTGTCGGGGAACTTAGCATGGAACCCGGGAGGTCGGCGGAGAAAGATGCGTTCGTGCAGTTCACCTTGCAGGAAAGCGTTGGAGACGTCCATGGAGTCAATCTCCATGTCGTCTCTTGCACCGATGTCAAGAAGGGTGCGTAGGGTGGCCTGCTTGACGGTGGGGGCGAACGTGAACCAGTAGTCCTCAGCCCAGGTCTGGGTGAACCCCTTGGCAACGTAGCGGGCTTTGTAGACTGGTTCTTCTCCCGGCAGCTGCTTGACTCGAAAGATCCACTTGCCCTCAACCAGGTTGGCGTCAGGAGGGAGGGGAACGTCAATGAAGGAGTTATTGTGGATGAATGCTTCACATTCCTGAAAGATGGCGGCTATCCACTTATCGGCGTCAGGGCAGGTGATAGCCTCTTGGAAAGTGGAGGGGACGAAGATGGTGGGAGCGGGGATCGCGCTAAGGAGTAGGGCGCCGAGGAGGTCAGGGGAAAGTACTGTGAGAGAGGGAGTGTGGCGCCGGACCATGGTGAACTCCTCATGGGAGTCCTCCAGTTGGTTGAGGGAGGGAGGAGACGGTGCACCAAGGATGGGGTCAAGGGAGCGGGTGTGCATGCGAGGGAGGAGGAAGGGTGAGGAGCGGGCAATTGCCCTGCGCCGCTGCTGCTGCTGGTGCTGCTGGAACCCCTGCTGCTGCTGCGGCTGCTGCCCCTGCTGCTGCTGCTGCGGCTGCTGTTGCTGTTGTGGCTGCTGCGGCTGCTGCTGCTGCCGCTGCTGGTGCTGCCCTTGCTGCTGCTGCTACTGCTGCTGCTGCTGCTGTTGCTGCTGCTGCTGCTGCTGCTGCTGCTGCTGCTGTTGCTGCTGCTGCTGCAGCTGCTGCTGCTGCCCCTGCTGCCGCTGCTGCTGCCCCTGCTGCCGCTGCTGCTGCTGCTGCTGCTGCTGCTGCTGCTGCTGCTGCTGCTGCTGCTGCTGCTGCTGCTGCTGCTGCTGCTGCTGCTGCTGCTGCTGCTGCTGCTGCTGCTGCTGCTGCTGCTGCTGCTGCTGGAGGTGCTGCTGCTGGAGGTTGAGGAAGGGTGTGGGGGGAGCAAGGAGGCGGAGGTGGGCTGGGAGGTAGGCTGGATTGGTTTGGATATCGGTGGGGGAGGGGCGTGGGGAGATGTTGCCCCACTTTGGAGGAGTGCCAACGTTACCCCGCGCGTACCAGGCATCGTCGAGAGCCTTGAAGCACGTGCCAGGGGGATGGTTGGTCTGTCCGCAGGGAGTTCCAGCCCGAGGACCATAGCGGCGGACATAGGTGCAGGGAGGAAGCGTGCCAGGGCGACTCCCGCGACTTGCAGTGGGTCCACCCGAAGTGGTGGTGCCGTGCTCATCCCCAGTGGTGCCACCACGGTTGTTGCTGCTTCCCGAACCACCACCTCCCTTGCCCCCACCTCCTCCTTTGCCGTTGTTCTTTCTGTCAAGATAGTAAGGACAGTGAGAAGCCATAGCTAGGGTTGACCTAGCTAGGCAAGCAAGAAATGAACAAAGGAGGGGTTGCACTAGTAAGAATGGGGATACAAATAGCAAACCCTAGAAGGGTTGTACTCGCTATAGAGCACCCCACTACAGGCTAGAGCATAATATTCTGACACACCCCCATAGCCAAAGTGGGGTGTAATCAGCAGAGCAAGCAAAACAGTACAAGCTCAGGGTGGATCACAATGTCACCACACATTCTGAGCACAAGTTCAAGAAGCAATAGTTTAAAGTTCACAATTATGAGCAAAGCCAGTGGTAGTCACAACGGGCAAGTGAGGAGGAGGAAAGAGACTATGAGAGGAGAGGAGGTAGTGGGCGGCAGCTGAAGCTGCTGGCACACGGCGCAACTGGAGCAACTGGCACACGGGCAACTGGAGCAACTGGCACACTGGCAACTGGAGCAACTGGCACACGGGCTACTGGAGTAACTGGCTCCGCGGCTGAAAGTAGCGGCAGACGAGCAACGGACTCACGGGCGACTGGAGCAACGGGCTCACGGGCGACTGGCGCAACGGGCTCACGGGCGACTGGCGCAACGGTCTCACGGGCGACTGGAGCTGCTGGCTTCACGGCGGCCACCCCCTTCAACCTCCCCAAACTATCCCACTCCCCCTGACACACACCCGCTGCTACACCGCTAGCTCCACTCCCCCTTCACCCCCCCCTTAGTACCACTCCGACGGCTCCAACAGGTCCACCCCCCTCAGCGGCAGCTGCAGCACAGGGAGACGGAGGAGGAGGAGGAGCAGGGAACGGCACACAGAAGCTGCACCCCCATACCCCCCACCCCCAAACCCTAATCAAGGAGTACGGGCAGAAGGAGGGGTGGGGCGCCTTCAGAAGCACGGGGGACAGTGGGGAGGACAGGGGCAGCGAAGAACGGGCCGCCCACGGGTCTGGCACAGCCTCCCGAACCGCGCGCAGGCGGCCCGAGCCGCGCGCGGGCCTGGCGCAGCCCGTACGGGCCGCGCGCGGGCCTGGCGCAGCCCGTACGGGCCGCGCGCGGGCCTGGCGCAGCCCGTACGGGCCGCGCGCCGGCTGTACGGGCCGCGCGCAGGCCACGACGGGCGACGGGGGGCGACGCGCGGGTCCCCGTCGCCCGTCGCAGCGCCTCCCGGGAGCAACGCGCGGTGTGACGGGGCAGAAACCCGCCGCGCGCCTCGGGGCGCACGGCGGGCAGAGAACCGCCGCGCGCCTCGGGGCGCACAGCGGGCAGAAAACCGCCGCGCGCCTCGGGGCGCACGGCGGGCTGAAAACCCTAATTTCAACGCCGCGTACCACGAGGCGCGCGGCGGACAGGGAGTAGCAGTAGCAGCGGAAGCAGTGAAGTGGTGGGCCCACAGGACAGGAGCGTAACCGCTCTGATACCATGTCAAGATAGTAAGGACAGTGAGAAGCCATAGCTAGGGTTGACCTAGCTAGGCAAGCAAGAAATGAACAAAGGAGGGGTTGCACTAGTAAGAATGGGGATACAAATAGCAAACCCTAGAAGGGTTGTACTCGCTATAGAGCACCCCACTACAGGCTAGAGCATAATATTCTGACACTTTCCCTGCTTGCGAGGCTGGGTAGCGTTGAGGGAGGAGGAGGTGGGTTGGGAGGAGGCGAGGTTGACGATGGGTGTACGGAGTTTAACTTCGGTGTCGATAATCCACTGTTCAACGGAGGCGAGACCGGCCATGGGATTGGCTTCGGTAAAGGCGTGGAGGCGGGATTCGTAGTCTGGGGTGAGGTTAAAGAGGAGGCGGTGGATTTGAAGAGGTTCGGAGAGGCCGGCCTGGCGGGCTTCGAGGCGATCAGCTACCTCGCGCATGCGTCCGACGTAGTCGACTGCTCCGTCACAGGTGGCGAGGGTGATGGAAAAATACTCTTGGAAGAGGATGCCGACGGAGCTGATGTCGCGGCGCTCAAACATGGCATGGAGTTCTGCCCAGATGACCGAGGCACGGAGTTCCCGAGCCTGGAAGCGACGCATGAGGGAGTCAGGGAGAGCTCCAAGGAGAACGGTGCAGGCACGGGTGTCAGCAGCTGTCCAGGCGATGAGTCTGGGGGTGAAGTCAGCCATGTCGACCTTGTATTTGGCGACGACCTCGAGGTGAGCGTCGCGACCAGCAACCGCCTGATCATAGGCCTCAACTGCAGCATCGTACTCGGCTTTGCGGATGAGGTATTCACGGCGGCGTAGGATAAAATCAGTGTCCGCAGTGGCTTGGTCGGGGGTGATCTGAAGATCGGGTTCACGAGGAGGGTCGCCAGGAGTAGGAGGAAGAGGAGGAGTCTCGCCGGGGTGGGGAGGTTCGGTGGGGGGGAGGGCATGGGGGCGGCGGAGGATGACGTCAAGGACACGGTAGGGGGGAACCCATGCGTCGGAGAGAACGCGTCGGATGCTGCCGACGAAGGAGTGCCAGTTGACTGCGGACTTGTCCGCGGCGAGCTGGAGCTTATAAATGGAGGACGTATCAATAGGGGGAGGAAGTGGGGAGGGGGAGGGTGTAGGAGTAGCCATGATGGACGGCTGCAGGTGGACCCGCAGTGGTCACGGAGGAGCAACGGCGACGAGGCCGCGGGGGGGGGGGGGGGGGGAGTGGCGCGGGCAGCAGCGGCTGGCGAGGCCGCGGCGGTTGGCGCGGAGGCGGCGTTGAAGCCGCGGAGGGGCGCGGACGGCGGCGGCTGGCGAGGCCGCGGCGGTGCTGGCGGGGAGGCGGCGTCGAGGCCGCTGGAGGGGAAGGCGCGGGCGGCAGCTGGCGAGGCCGCGGCGGCTGGCGCGGAGGCGGCGACGAGGCCGCGGAGAGGCGCGGGCGGCGGCTGGCGAGGCCGCGGCGGCTGGCACGGAGGCGGCGACGAGGCCGCGGAGAGGCGCGGGCGGCGGCTGGCGAGGCCGCGGCGGCTGGCACGGAGGCGGCGACGAGGCCGCGGAGAGGCGCGGGCGGCGGCTGGCGAGGCCGCGGCGGCTGGCGCGGAGGCGGCGACGAGGCCGCGGAGAGGCGCGGGCGGCGGCTGGCGAGGCCGCGGCGGCTGGCGCGGAGGCGGCGACGAGGCCGCGGAGAGGCGCGGGCGGCGGCGGTTGGCGAAGCCGCGGTAGTGCCGGCGCGGAAGCGGCGACGGGGTCGCGGGAGGGAGCGGCGCGAGCGGCGGCGGCTGGCGAAGCCGCGACAGTGCAGGCGCGGAGGCGGCGACGAGGCCGCGAGAGGGAGCGGCGCGAGCTGCGGCGCTGGCGAGGCCGCGGCAGTGCAGGCGCGGAAGCGGCGACAAGGCCGCGGGAGGGAGCGGCGCGAGCGGCGGCGGCTGGCGAAGCCGCGGGAGTGCTGGCGCGGAAGTGACGACGGGGTCGCGGGAGGGAGCGGCGCGAGCGGCGGCGGCTGGCGAAGCCGCGGCAGTGCAGGCGCGGAGGCGGCGTCGAGGCCGCGGAAGGGAGCGGCGGCGACGGCGGCGGCCGCAGTGGCGTTGGCGCGGAGGCGGCGTCGAGGCCGCGGGATGGGGCGGGCGGTGGCGGTCGGCGGGACCGCGACAAGGCGAGCGCGGAAGCGGCGGTGGGGCCGCGAGCCGTGATGGCGTGGGAGGCCGTGGGGCTGCGAGGAAGGGAGTGCTTGAGGAGAGGGGGAGGGTGGCGAGATAGCCGCGGAGAAATGAGAGAGGAGGCCGGGGGTTGCAGCGGCCTTTGAAAAAAACTAGGAGCGTAGGCCTAGGATTTTTAAGAGCTCTATACCATGTGAGAAGAAAAGGTAGAAGAGAAGTTGATGGATTGATTGAAAGGATGGGGGGTTTACATAGGAGATGAGTTGGAAACTAGCCTAGGTGAACATTATTGGACCCCAACCAAGGAGTTGGGTTGGGAGATTATTGGTGGGGTCCAATAATGTTGGCCAAGTTGGAGTTGGGCCAACATTATTGGAGGGGACCAATAATTCTACCCATCCCAACCCTTGGGGTCCAATAATTGGACCAAGGTTGGGTTTCCAACCTACAAATTGGGTAACCCCTGCTTGTACACCCAAACTAAGTTTGGGTGCTTATCTCTAGCCTATCCTATAGCATATATGCAGGTTACAAGAGAGGAGATATTCTAACAAGGGCAACTGTAGATTTGTGCCCAGGAGGACTACTTGCCTAGTGCGGAAGGGTAACTCCCATTGGTGCTTGTGCGCATTGCGACTGCCCGCAGTATTGGCCTTGGGGATAAACTCGGCTGCTTTCTTGCGGGCGGTCTGTAGTTCCGTGACGAACTGCTATGATCATGGTACCGGATTGTCCACAGCCGTTGAAGATGGTATCACGGGGTCTTTTCTGTAATTCAGGTAAAATGGTGACTGTTTGGTCGTTGCCGATGGTGCGTTGTTGTACGAAAATTCCAGCATCGAGAGCGGGTCCTCCCACTTGCGCAGGTCCGGACAGTTGGTGCGAATTAGTTACTCCATTGTCTGGTTTGTCCGTTCTATCTAATCGTCGGTTTGCAGATGGTAGGACGACGAGAACTGTGCCCATGTCTCCTGCCAGAACTTCGACGTGAATTTCGGGTCTCGATCGCTGATGATCGCCGAAGGTAGTCGCAAGACAGTGGAGATGAAGAGTTTTGCGGTATCTTCGGCTGTGATCGTCGTAAGGCATGGTGCGAAATGCGTCATTTTTGTCAATCGTTCAACGATCACCAGTACCAAGTCGTTCCCATTCGCGCCAGCTGGAAGCCCCGTGA